ACTTGTAGGTTGATCTTAAAACAAGAAGGAAGCAGGAGTTTGAATACTGAAGACTTTTTAAAGAAAATTAAGTAACAGTTAACAAACTCAAATCAATGCATGAAATCGACCTCGATGTTCAAGAAAATAATCCCAAAGGCAGACACGAGTCGAGCAACTAGTCGTAAAAGGATATGGGCTTGATAATTCATCTTGTTACACTGATCGATCAAGGCATTTAATAATTTATCCCGAGAAAAGTTTGCACTTTACTACAACGAATAAATTGACTGAATTGTGCAAAATGATATAATATTAATTCTACTCATACACTGAAGTTATCAAACGTTTAGAAAATGTGAAACATGACTCTACTGGCTATCAGTCCGTACAGCACCCATGGTGAGCGATGATGACGAATGTTCTTATTCGAGGTCTAAATACATTTTCGTAACCTACGCATTAGCGTAACCTACCGGATTAATAAAAAAAATGATGAATCAGTGATCTGAAACCAGGATGAAAAAACAAGATGTGGATTAGAGTAAACTTGCCTGATTTCGAGAGATTAAAGGCAATCCAATCAAATTCATCTAGCATTTGATCATCTCCTTTCTTTTTATGACTTAATCGGCTCTCAAACTTGGCTGAGGTGCTAGCATTTGGCCACTGAAGATGCTCATCTAAGGCTATAAGATGACAAATATTGTTGATAAATAGAGAGGCGTGATTACGCATCAGATGTTTGAGTATTTCTGGGCGCAATGAATCTGAATCGATGGCTAATATTCCCCGTTCCATCAGCTAGGTTCAAAAAAAGTAATATAATATAAATAGTAGATAATAAACCCAAATGCTTTCGGTAAAAAAGTTGAACAGTAAAGTCCAGATTCAAATTCCGAATTCAAACCTGGATGTCCATTATAGTGTTTTTGAGGAGAGTTTTAATTCCAGTATAATCTCTGTTCTTGATGGTAGCATTTGCCATACGGGCCAAGGCGGCGATGATGCAATCGGAGTAAAGCTTTTTAATATCCTCAGAGAGCAATAGCAATATCCCGTCAATAAGATCTGAGGGTAGCTCGGTAGCAGATTCATCTGTGAGGAGGAAATGAAAATCATCTGAAAAAGCTGATACTGGATCCGTGGTGAGGGGCACGGACATTATAGAATCCTGGTCCGTAAATCTTTCGATTAAGCCTTCTCTTTTTTCACCTATATTTTCATCTTTGTTGGCCACGTACTTCCTTTTCGTATTTTTAGTTTTGACTTCTCTCGCATCCAGCTCGAACCCGCATGCAGCTTTGGATACCTTAGTTAAAGAGTTGCATTGTTCATCCTGCTCGCTGACGATCGGCGTTGTAGAAGCGACGACTGACTGGAGAGACTCTATGCGGAGAGCCTCCTCTTCAGCTTTGTTCATAATTATTAGTTCAAGTTTGGAGAAGCAGTGTTTTTTAAAGTCATTACTAACGACATACATAGCATTCTGCAGTAAGCATGCAGGCTTTCCCTTAATAAGTGGTGCCACTAAAGCTTCGATTTCTTTCTGATTAACATTGACTGGTAGGTAATTATTCAGATCAACCCAAGAGGAATCCGATGTAGCCTCATTAATAGCAGACTTTATTTGAAGAAATAAGGATTCACTGATGCTAATACCTTCAGAGTGTGAAGCCTCCTTTAATTTGGATCCCACATATAATCCGGGATCACGTATACCAAGTTGCTTAATAAAACCCCATTCAACGTAGCCATTTTGCTCAAAAAATGTTGTAATATATGTATCCTGAGCACGTACGAAGCAAGAGGGAACAAAGACACCTTCACTGGCCACAAGAATTCCCATCACTTCACCAGATATAATGAGTCGCTTCAGGAGAAAAATGAAGATATGCTCATCAAGATTTAGTTTTGCAGACGCGACATTGACTGTTACTGGGCCTATAAGAGGGGTACATAATCCTCTTATCTTCGCCCTGAATTCATCCAAATATGCATCCGTGTAGATATTCTCGCCATCTTTTTGGACATTAGACATGTGTTTGTTGACTATCTTGCTGACCAAGTGCGTAGGTAAATCAAATTTCCTAGTAATGTCGATTATCGTAGTGAATCCTCGTTCTTCCATCAGATCTTGTATTTCACGAGCAACGCGGTTTATATATGAGTAAGATATCACTTTACCGGGTAGTCCCATTATCGATTGGTATTTTCGCTATTAACGTCTTAACCAATTAAATCAACAGTGCTAACTGCAGTTAGGTTACAATCAGGAATCAAAACGACGCCACGGTAACGCATTTAACATATGATTCGAATAAACTTATTCACTTTATCTGAATCATTCGTAATATTAATCAACCACATAAATTTATAGCAAAATATAATTGCTAAATTTTTACTAGATTTTTATAGATTAAACTCAATAAAAAAGAAGCTAGGTGTTTAATAGTGTAAAGTACACTTATATGAATAAAAGTTGGGTTTCGAGGAATCTCTTATTTCATAATTGTTGAGCTTACTTCCATTTTAATTTATAGTGTTTGTTAAAGAGAATCGAAGGTCGATTCCACCTGAAGACGACA